AATCAACAGGAACTGTAGGACCATTTAGGAAAGGTGAAGAAGCTCTCGTTATATTTGTTTACTTGAGATTCCAGACATTATTCTTTGTTCAATGCTGTGCTGTTGCCAATAGGCCTTCCTGCTAGTTGACGCTCGCTTTGAGCACGAAGAGCATTGTTCGAGCGACGATAGTCTAGCTTCTTGCGCTTTGATAGATCCAGCAAACCACGCACATGCAGAGCGAACACAAGGTGTGTGCACACGCCTAACTTCAGGTAATAGTTGCAAGGACAACACCGGCACAACACATCGACGCGCCAGCCTTCACCTGGCGTGCCGCGCACTTCAGCACGCGCTGTCTGGACGCTGAGGCGGGACGTGACAGGTAATGACTCGCTGGTGCGTCGAGCTTGTGGGTCGTACACTTGATCGCAAAGCTCCGAAGCCACGTACACATGGTCTTCTGATGTCGAAGGTGCGTCATTCAGCAAGAATGCCAAACGGGATCGACCTGACACAAGTTCATGTATCTTGTGTGCTCGTCACGTGCACGTTGTACGAGGACAGGTGAGGGGGTGACTTCCAAAGCGAATGCTTTCTCCTTCAAACTCTCAGTGCGGCAGCACTGCAGCAGCTGCTCTATCAGCGAGCCCATTTTGAGGCGAGAGTGCAGGGTATAGTCTCTCTTCAAGGCCCTGTTGTACTGCTCGACGGGATTATTAGCCGTGGGAAAGCCTGGTCGAGTGTGGAACACTTGCCAGCAATGAAACCTGCTGTCTAGTCACTGCTTCTGGAAGTAACAGTAAAGGCCGTGAGCCTGGTGTCTCCCTCCCAGTCTGACAAAAGCTTCGCCTTCTTTTCAGAATACGCGCCCGCAGTAGCAGTGAAGTGCAGGTCGGCGATGTCGCGCATTACTCGAGCATCAAGCAAAGGCTCAAGTGCACGAGTCTTTTCGTGAACCTTTGCCAACACGTGGAAGTAGCACCTCAAGCCAACAGGCTTGGCTCCACCGATAGAGGAGGCAAAAACCTCTTCGACGCCGTTCAGTTGAGCTTCGTCGGCATCCACCATGACAAATCGAGGGGCCAGGTCATGCCCTGTCACGGATCGAAATACTCGCTTCAGCGCCGACAAAGCTTCAACCTATTGAACCTTTGTCCGCTGTGACGAGATGAACACGGCCAGGAGATGAAACGTTCTCATGCAGTCGGACATTCCGACAACGATGACAGGGTAGTTGACCTGATTGAGCTTGAACGTGGCATCAACGTGTAGTACATGAGCTGCCGGTTCTTGAACACATCGCTGCAGCAATTTCTTAGACTAGAGCTCCACAACAAACGAATCCATGTCGGTGCCAATACCTACAACCGGACGGCCTTCGCCATCCATATTCCATGTGAAAGTAAAGCCTTCAATCAATTCTTCTTGGCCTGTGAAGCCCCTCTCGCGCACTAAGTTCGAGAAATCCCAGAAGTCGCTGCCGCCTAGGTGGGCAGCACGATAATGGTGAACAAATCGCTGCACCGCTGCAACAGATGGCAAGCTGTTCTGGCCAAGGTTGGAACCGCGGAGAAGCGCGTTTCGAATCCGGGTAGGGCGGTGGCGGTGAGCCGCCATTTCCCTGGCAACCACCTTCATTGGCTCTGTTAGCCGAATACGCCTCTCAGGCCGGCGGCGACTTGCATGAGCTCCAGCCTCCCACACAGTCACAATGTCCAGCACACAACACTGCTGCGTTTTCCCTCTCCACTTGCAGTGAGTGTACGGGACATCGTTGGCGCACGCCTCGCAGGAGCAGCGTATCAGCCGCACACAAAAATGCAT